AAATTCTTTTAGGCAGGATTAGAGAAAATTAATCTATGTGACCTTAGGCATGGTCATTCGAAAGGGTTTGACCTCCCGAGTCCAAAACTGTAATTAGATCTCAAATCGGTCAAGAGATGATAGAGCTATGAGCTGCTATGCCGCAGCTAATAACAAATATATCTTTATCTATTTTAAGAAGCTTAAAAAATGAAACAGGAAAGTTAGATACCTATCAAATAACAAAAATGTTGTAACACTTTTTTTGTTTTTGTGGCCTTGCTTTAAAGAAAAAAGTAATTTATCTTTGTTATTAGAAAGATATCCTAAGCAGTAACAAAATATATTGATTATTATTTTGTGCAGTTTTCCATTACTAAATCCAGTACTAATGTATAGTTAAAGTTTTTATAAAAATAAAAAAGAATAAATATCTGACAGAGACAAAGTTTCATTTGATTGCATTTTTTTATGCTTTTTTGGTGGTTGTGGTATTAGTTTAAGAAGTAGGTAAACTTTAATGCTTTAGCTTGGTCAAGTGTAAATGTTTATTATTTTTAGGAGAGTAGTTCTCAGAATGAGAAAAACTCAAAAGCAAGTGATGAAAATGTAAAAAATGCTGTTGAAGAATTGAAAGCTAAAGGTCAAGAAAACCATTTAAAGTCACTGGCAAACCTCAGAACAGCCAGTTCCCCTGAAAAAGAGATAACACAGAAAAAGGTAGGAGTTACTTACATAAATTTCAGGAAGGTGTGTGTTAACCTTTTAACTAGGTAATTTTTGGGACAGAAATTCAATCTGTAGTGGGTACTTATTTCCTTCTTAATTATAATGATTGCCTTTGTGGAGAAATTACCTAATTGAATTGATGTGGAGTAAAGCTTGCCTAATAATTTGCCTTTGTGTGGTATGCCTTGAAGTTTGGTGCTTGGTAGAGACCAACACAACAATCTGAATACCAGTACTACAATTTTTGTCCATTTTTTTTATTTCAGGTATGAGTTAACCCTTTCCAGACAGGTCACAGGTGAAAGGCCATGTCATCTTGTCTATTGACTCCCATTCAAAATTTTATTGAACTACTATTTCATGAATTTATGTCAACAAGTTTGCTATCAAACTGTAGATTATAATTCAAATTTTAGTATTATATCTTATTCAATTTCTTAGTTTAAAAGTAAATATTAAAAAAACACAGTTAAACATTGATTTTTATGTGTCACGTGGTATGTTGAATGCAGCAC